TAATGGCTTGGCAGGTACTACATGTAGGATGCAGAGATACAGCTCTTGATGCCGACAGGCAACAACGAACCGGGAAACGCCCCTTTATCGTATTACAGGCAGACTATCATGCTACAGGCAGTAGTCACTACCGATTAGTTATCACTTCTGTAGATTTGATATATTCAACGGCTATCAGTGTCAGCCATTCTAGGCCATTCTAGAATAGTCTGTTTAGAAATCACTGTGCATATAAAGCCCTACATTCTGATAGCTAGCAACTCAACCAACATCTACTCCTTCTCCTCACCTCTAGCTATGAACTATCGAGATGATCGAGTGTATCGGCAACTGGATACGACAGAGGCACATTAAGCCGGTCTGGGACAGTGGAATGGGTCTACCGATCGATCCAGAGCTTCAGGAAACTCTCCTCGGTGTTGTGAATGAGGGAGCAGGTGGAATAGATTGGTATTAAAGCAAGTAACCACGCCAACACGTTCAAATTAATGCTTATGTACTTAACGCGGTTTTTAACGCGGTTTTTAACGCGGTTCAACACCATAATTAACGTGGTATGGTTTTGACGATACTAATATGGTATGGTCTAGAGCGATTCTTAATGTGGTTCAACCACGATAGTCATGTATGCTTCCCCCCACGCTTCGATGCGTACTTCTGATCTTCCAGCGAGTACAATGTCGTCTGGAGCAGCCGGCGCTTTCCATTGGAACTCGGCAGCATTGTTGCAGATATGTACGTCGGTGGCCGGGTCCAGCGTCCATGAGTGGAGGAGCGGATAGTGCTGATAAGGTGGTTGGTGATTGAAGGCTGACAGGAATACAGCATAGGCTTGGTGGGAAGTGTGTTCGATGGGGTCGTCACCTGCATCGATCTCTATCGAATCAGATTCTGCTTTATGACCAGGGCTGCCCGTTTTGAGTTTCTTGTATCGCCGATTTTTCTCCCGAATCTTGTTTAATAGGCCCTTCTTGTCTTTTGATTCGTAATTAGAAATCTTCTTGGTTTTTTCAGGGTCTTCGACAAATCCCCTTGGTCTTTGGGATGTGTCGATGTAGGGGCATTGTCCCCAGAAGTGAATGTCGCCGCAGAGGCATGGCTTCATGGGCTTGCCGTCGTTTCTGCCTCTTTTCTCAGAATATGGAGATTCTTTGTTGTTGAACTTCGCCCCAAACGCTGCAGTTTGTATGTTCGCTTTCTTTGAATGTGTGGTGCGATGATATCGTAGGAAGTTTCCGACTAGGGTGGGAAGTTGACTTTCGTGTGGCACAGGCTGATCACGATAGCGGCTCCATGTCTCTTCGGCCTTGAAGACATCAATAGCAATAGTGGCAGAGTAGCCTGAGTCGATCTGTTTAATGGCTCGAATGAAGTCTTTGTGAGGTCGAAAGCCGTGTGCTTCTGGCAAATCGAGTTGTTTCGCACGGATGTATGCAGCGAGGAAGTCGTTACACCAGTCTTCGATGTTTGACTGACGAGCATGCAGCACTTTCGCTGACTCGTATGCTTTCTGGACTCGGTATTCTTGATCAGCGGTAGTAGGTGAGTACAGCTCTTGAAGAGTTTTGAGCTGCTGGTAGACCGTGTCTTTGTCTTTGATGTGGTATAGAAGGTCCTGGCTGATCGTTTTAGTGATGTGCGCTTCAACTTGACCTAACTTATCTCGCAAGCGTCTGTATTCCTTGATCTCCTTGTAGTAGGTGTTGACATCCGCATTGTATTGAGCAAAAGCTTCTTGGCCAGGCTCGGTGGCAGGTGATCCATCATCGTTAATGATGGCTGATGGACGAAGGGGTTTTTCTGGCTTCTGGAGAGGTTGGACAGCTCGATCGGGATCGATGTACTCCTATACGTCCCCTGATTTAGCTATTCTCTTAATAACGAAGATCTAGAGCTCCTAGTTGTTGCAGCCTTAGAGGATAATATCTGAACTAACAGAGTAGGTCGACATAATAGTAGTGATCGGAGGTTGATGTGATAGAAGTGATGGCACGGATTAGGCCGGGCTCATAACTGTAAGCATGGGGTGGCACTAGTATTGGGTCTCATGTATGAGTGTATTGTTCTGTGTATGTACAAGTATGTGATCTGATCTCGAAAGTAGTCGGACTCATTAGTCATGCTTGCAGAGCAGTCATGTGATGTGGTCCTAGGCTTACAACACGAAGACTCGTGTTGTAGGTGCGCGTCGCCTGCTTGTCCTTGATGGCCATGAGAGCCACCACTCGCTTGAGTTTCAAGAGCTCTGCGAGGAGAACAACATCTACACGCTCTGTATGCCACCTCACTTATCCCACCTACTCCAGCCTCTTGACGTTGGCTGCTTCTCGCCGTTAAAGCGCGCGTACAGTCGTGAGGTAGAGAGCCTAATCCGCCGCCACATCAACCACATCACTAAGCTCGAGTTTCTGCCAGCGTTTAAGGCAGCGTTTGATCGAGCGTTCACGCCAGCTAATATCTGCTCAGCCTTTCGGGGCGCAGGCCTTGTCCCTCTCCAGCCAGACGCTGTCCTGTCAAAGCTAGACGTAAAGCTGCGTACGCCTACTCCAGCTGCTCTGCCAGAGGCTGTTTGGGAGGCTCGTACACCAAGCAACGTACGTGAGCTTGAGGCTCAATCAACGTTAATTCGTGAGCGCGTTAGGAAGCATAAGAGCTCGTCACCAGCTTCTATTCTTGAAGCGATCAACCAGCTTGAGAAAGGAGCAGAGATAATGATGCTCTCAGCTGAGCTAATGCGCGATCGGATTGCTAGCCTTGAGAAGGCTGATGAGGCAGCGTCAGAGCGAAAGAAGCGTAAGAAGAAGCGTATACAGAAGCGAGGAGTCTTAACAAAGGGAGCTGGAGAGGATATAGTTGCTCAATGTGAGGCTAATCAGCAGATTGCTCGTGAGGAGCGTCAAGGTGGAGAGCAATCAGGCCTCAGCCGCCAGGCTTTAGCGCGCTGTAGGAGGTGCAGAGAGCCTGGGCACAACGCACGTACGTGTAAAAAGGATACTGTATGTACTGCTTAATCTATTGTATTAATGTCTATATACTATTTTATTACGTGGTTGAATTATATGCTTTAAGAGGTGCAGAAGGTTGGTGGGGCTCGCAACTCGCTTGGATTCGCAACTCGCTTATAATCCATGTTATAGATATCGCAGCACCATAGATAGGTTTTCTTCTTTATCGAATACAATCCTGTTACCAGGCATCGGCATACTTTGCGCAGCCCCTTACAGAGGATATCGAGAAAACTTTGGCAGGGCACGTACCACTTTTTCAACGATATTGCAGCTATATCCTAAGACATAATATATATAGAGCTTAAGGATTTCTGAAGGTACTGTTTGTTGCGAGTGTCGTCGGATGTAGAAGAGACGTACACGGAATCAGCTTGTACCGTCATGTAGATTGATTAAGACGTGTTTACAGCTTTATTTCTCGACGTAAAATCAGCGCTCGTAGCATACTGGGGGTGTGGGCCTGGTTTCGCGCAAAAAGTGGTGTTCCTCTGGTACGAAGGATCGTAGATGTTGGGCGTCGCAAATACTCTCGGTCTGTAATGGACTAGCCGCGAAGCGAAAGTGCAAGGCGATTCTAAGATATGGGATAGCACATTGAGCCTAGTGAAATTCAGAGGAACCACTTACCAACCGCATTATTGGTGTTGGGTGCATATCAGCGCTTAGCAGGGCTACTTGAGGTCGTAAGAATATGATTACCAACGCTACTAAGTACGTCCACCACTTGCCGCTTATTCTACTAGCATAACATAGTAAATATCTTCCTGGAGCGACAGAGCGTACAAGTATGGACACAAGTGTAGAGATTACGGCTGTTTTTCTGGCGCATTGCTGCTTTCTTTGAAGCTATTCATCTATCCTGGATTCTTTTCAAGCACGCCTTAGGTAAGAACTATAAGTAGCGATAAGAAAGGCTTAGGTAAATGCAAAGTATTTTAAGTAAGTCGACTACCACGCCTTGGAGTTGGGCGCTTACGGCAGCTAGGCTCAACTCAGGAACGAATCTTACTCCTCCCATTTGGCACATGGTACAACTCCGGCTCGAAGTCAACGTTGGAAACCGTCAGCGTTCTGTTTTGCGTGTGAGATACTAACTTATATCTTATGCCTTTCTGCTTCACACTACTTAGAACAACGTAGTCTATCGAGCGAGGCCGACCAGACCGCTTCTCCAGATTCCGTGCACGAGCTTCACCCACATAATCAGATGCAGGAAGAGGCATACCTGCCGTGAGCAGAGATTCGTGCGGCTCGGGCCTGGCGATACACCCAAGCAGACTCGCAATGGACGGCCGCCAAGAGATCACGATGAGACGGTGAGCGCATTAAGAAGTAGCAGGTGTAGACTGTTAGTCTACCAAGAGACTGCAGTGATGCGCTGAGTTGCTTTGGTAAAGAAAGACCTCCGAGGTATCCTGATGACAGTCCAAAGCGGTTTGTGCTCTCGTCGGAGGGCACGGTCGGTCGCGGCAGCAGGTTCAACCATTGCTGTATGCCTCTCAGACAGCTATAGGCAGAATCAGCCAAGGTAAGATGCTGACTACCAAGCAGCAGTTGCGGCTGAGACAATTCTCCCAAGCACTGCACAAGCTGACATCAGCCCGGAACTTTTGTTCGGAACGAAGCTTACTGACGAATTCAAGAGGGGACCACAATACTGTACTCCCCAAGTGTAAAGCACAAGGGTGAGCTGATGAATAAATCAGGCCCGAGGGTTAAGATGCTGGTATTGAATTGCTTTGGACATACTGACATTTTCTCGCTTCCGGATTTCCTCTTGAGACTTCAAAATTGACAAGCGACAAGTGGAAAGTAGATCAGCTGCATTTCTATTATGATGCAGAATAGCACATGCATTGCGCGAAAAGCCCTTGATGCCAAAGTACCGTCCTCAAGCCCTTACTCATAGCCTTTAAGACACTCTACCGCTCGCACTCTGCTGCCTTCCCACCAGGAGCGTCTAACGCCTCGCTACCATCCTCAATCCCTTACTCCCCTTCGCCGGTGCAGGAATAATAAACTCGCCATTCGTATCGATATCCCTTTCCTTGAATGTATCAAATACCTGTAACGTTGGTCCCGTCTTCTCCTTTCCTTCCCCATAGACATCGTACTTGACTAGCAACGCTGCAAGTAAGACGGAAATCTCTCTTTTCGCGAGATTGATACTGCAAACATCTGTTAGCTTTCTGTCCAGAGGGTTGGGGCAGGAAGACACGTACCCAATACACCCTCTCGGCCCTCTCGAAAACCCCATAAATGCGCGCGACAACTTGGGGTTCTCAATCCACCTCTCGGGCCTAAACTCCTCCGGATTTTCGAAGACTGAGGGTGTTTTGTGCAGAATTGTGGGCGTCATGCCATACGTGATGCCCGCAGGAACTACATACTCGCCGTACACGACGGGCTCAGGCGAGTAGCGCCACTGCCTGTTTACGACGCCGGGGTGCAGGCGAATGGTCTCCTGGATCACGGCGTTGAAGTAGGGTAGCGCGTCGAGTTGGGCGAAGGAAGGCGGGTTGGGGATAGAAGACAGCTCGGCCTTGACGGTAGCGAGGATAGAGGGGTGCGTGTAGAGCGAGAACATCGCGGCGCTAAGGGTGTGCGCTGGAGATTTGAGGGTCAGCTGGGGTTCCACGTCTTTAAAGGGGGTGAGAAACGGGGAGGGAGTTGATGGTCTTACCCGTAGTCCCTTCGCCGGCGAAAACAACGAGTTGCGTTTCGCTCGCAAGACGGTGATTTGTCTTTTCTGCGTCGGGAAGCGAGCTGTTCAGCACGCCGCCAAAGATTGTGCTCTTGATGCGTTCGGGATCGTTTGAGGTCCTAATCTCTTCGACCTTCTTGAGCCACCACTGAGCAAACACATCAGTTCATTCAGCCCTTTGTTACCATCACGTGTCAAACGTACCATTTTCTTCTCCCACATCTCTCTCAGGCCCTCACCAAAGTTCCTCATCATCCAGCCGGGCGTCTTCGCTACCATCCACCCGACGATGGGCCAATGCCCAAAGAGATGGTTGAGGCTGAAGAACATGTCAACGGCTTTGAAGTACGGCTTCCCGCACTGGACGTCGTCGAGGAAATGGAAGCAGTCGCCAAACGCATACTGCACGACGGTGTCGCTCGCATATGCCTTGAACAGTACATTCATCTCAATGGGCCCGCTAGCCTGTTCGATCCGGTTCAGTACCTTTTCGGTATGTTCCCTGATCACGGGCTCAAGTTTGCGGACGCTGGCAACAGAGAAGAAGGGATTGATGACGCCGCGGCGCTTGCGGTGCATGTCGTGGTCTTCGGTGGCGGTCATGGAGTCTGGAGCTGGGAAGTGTAAGTGGATAGGTCAAACGTACGTGTGATTCCAATCGTAGACTTACTTCCACTTCGCTTGCCCACCATGACGGGTCTGTTGGTTTTGCGCTCGCCGGCGCCGGGGTAGAGGGAGTCGATAAAGTCTGGGTCGTTGAAGTGTACTTCGTTGGGACTGATGCGGACGATTGGGCCTGATGACTGCGTTAGACAAAGTCCAAGTATCTGATTCGTGTACGAGGCTGTGACGAACCGTATTTCTGGTGCATTTTCCTGATCTTGCGGAAATACTGTCCACCTTGCCAGACATCGTAGTAGATTTCGTACCATGAAGTCAATGCTGCTATCCTGGGACCCGGGATTTTGGCAAGGGGGTGAATTGTCACTATGAAAGCGTTGAATTAGTAAAGACGGCTCTGATATTTGACTGGCAAACACGTACGTCGATACAGCCCAAGAGTAATACCATAGCTCAGAACAATAGCTGCAATGTAGTATACAACCTTGCGTCTAGATTCGTCATCCTGATACAGGGCCACCAAATTCTCGCGTACGTGTTCCATGGCGTTTGCTCAAGTTGAAAACATACAATGACATGAAAAACGTTTAGAAAGTGCCATTCCCGCAGCAGAGACTGGATACCTATATCTATCAAAGATTTACTCTGCATTTACAGTGATCACGTTACCAAGAAAACATTGCCAAACGTGAAGTCGTAACCCCATCCTGGAGGATGACGGTAATGCTAATCGTGCATGTCAGCTTGTGCATAGATTTCATGCAAGGTCATCTAGGTATTGCGGGATGTAGCGGCCCACTGTGATAGATATGCACCACACTGCTTTGTGCTTACCTTGCGTCGCTTGGCTAAATCCACCTGCATCTGCGGCCTGGCTTAGCTAAGCAACCATCGAAGGTAACCTCGATTCGGGTTTGTGGCACAGTGATTAGAAATGCAAAACATCGCCGCAGCTAGCGCCTTGGCCTTCACCTTCGTACATAGTCTCTCTTTCAAGAAGCTATCTTAACCGTCACATATTCACCACCAAGGCACCCAAAGAGAACGAAAACCGCAACTTCACCCGAACAACATGGCCCCCACCATAGTCCTCATCACCGGCGCCAACCGAGGCATAGGCCAAGGCCTTACCGAGCGCTTCCTGGCAGAAGCCAATCACACTGTCATTGCCGCAGTGCGCAACCCCGGACACCCAACCGTGCAGAAACTGCAAGAGCTGCCAAAAGGTCCCGACAGCCAGCTCATTGTCGTGAAGCTCGATGCAAGCGTCGAGGAGGACGCGAAAAATGCCGTTACCGAGCTGCAGCAGAAGCATGGAATCGACCACCTTGACATCGTGATTGCGAATGCGGGCATTGGGTACATCTACCCCACCGTCGCAGATGTCAAGATTTCGGATATCAAGGCGCACATGGAGTGCAACGTGTATGGCGTGATAGCGCTGTACCAGGCGACACGGGATCTCTTGAAGAAGTCGTCGCGCGAGCCTATATTCCTGCCTATGGGGTCGTCGGCAGGATTGTTGATGTAAGTTGACTTTGACGTTTCTCTCGCGGATTCTGGTTGACCATGGCCTTTAGCAACCATCTGCCCATTCCCAACGCCGCGTACGCGCCTACCAAGACAGCAATCAATTGGTACACAATCCGCATCAACGCCGAGGATGAGTGGCTTAACTGCTTTACCATCGACCCGGGCCATGTTTCGACGGATCTGGGCGACGGGGCGGCAGTGGCAGTGGGTATGGGCGAGAAGGCGCCCCTTTCGGTTAAGGATTCATGTGAGGGCATGATGAAGTTGTTCGCTAGGGCTACGAAGAAGGAGTTCGGTGGCAAGTTGATGGTCTACACCGGGGAGGTATCGCAGTGGTGAGGGCATTTTAGAGCCCCTCTCTGCAATGCGTGCGCTGGGCACCTGAAATAGATTAACGATGGACCCTACCGGGTTTTACATATAAAGTTCTTACCTCGGGGTAGTTAGCTCGATAGGCTTATCAATGATACCATAAAATCCACCCTGCATTGATCTGGACGCGGGCAGGTGGAGACTCATCGTGAAAGGCCACAACGCGACGTGAACATTGAAGTTCTTCAGGGTCCATGCAATGTCTGCGGGCGCTACCACCGGTAGGTATCCTACTGGCTGTCATCACAGCTTGGGCCGGCATCTCACCGATAGGCTAGACGACGCTGATTGGTGTGCGTGCCTTGTGGGATCGGGCATGTGGGGTTGAGGTACCGGTACTTGTGCGGTGTTCCTTCAACCCACCCGCACCCAGGAAACTTGTTTATGCGCAACCCGCCCGGATGCTTACAAATTATGGAGAGTATGTTCTTACGATCGTCTTTTATTGCGAGCGAGCTGTGAAGCTGGTGATCGCGACATGGAGTTGTACATTGAGTTGGACCTGTATAGGTGTTTGATGACTTGAGATGCTGTCGGCTCTGATGTCTGGTACGGTTCATGGACAGCATGTGGGGTATCTCAAACAACATATTTTAAACAGGCAATGTGCCTCTACCCGACATGCACACAAAAGCTTACAACATCTGGAATGATGATAAACCGGTGATTCACGTGATCGTGCCAAGCCTGCAGGTGCGGGCGGCTCGGTTCGTGCGGGGTCTCGAAACGCTTGCCTTCGGCACAATAAACTGCTTACAAACAAGCTTACAAACAAGCTTACAAACAAACAATCTCTTGGTCTGCACAGCTTCTGTTGGACGCAATGAGGATGAGATTCTACTGAACGCCTCCGGGAATATCTACATCTATGCTTCTAAAAAAGCCTCCGGAAATGTCTATGTCTATATCTTTAAGAAATCCTCCGGAAATGTCTACGTCTATGAGAATCTACGTCTACGTCTATGCAGCAATCAATCGTCCATCCTCGCCCAACTTGAACGCATCACTACCGACAGCCGGCTGATTCCACAAGACGAAGCCCGGATCGTACTTTAGCTTGATCTTCAGCAAGCGATCGTAGTTAGCGCCGTAGTAGTCGGTCTTCCAGTGCTTGTTGTCAAAGGTAGCCTCGCTGGCGTAGGAGCCGCCACCGGGCGTGAGCTTGCGCAAGCGGTCTTGCCAAGTGTTTATCAGGGCGAGGTCGGAAGACAGCGTGTCCCAAGCGGCACGCTCGCTGCTCATCAGGACCAGGTTGATGGCGAAGAGCGAGTCGCGCCAGGCAGGCAGGACCGAGTTGTCGCTGGGCTTGTTGCCGGCAGTGGCGTGAGTAACATTACTGCTCAGCAGGACGAGGATAGGGTCGCTCGTCGAGTTGTCGACCTCAACCATGGTGCGGAAAGCATCCATTAGGTGCGTCAGCGAAGTAGGATTGTTGACAAGGGAGCGCGGTATCAGTCGATTGCCGATGGTCATGTTCCTTGTGTCGTTATTGTTAGTGTTGTACGTCTTGAAGTGGGTCACGAAGTTGGACTGCTGGGAGACCTCGTTGGTCGTAAGAGAGACGTTGAGCTTCGCAAGAGAGCGGTAGAAGGGGTTCAAGACCGTGGTCAATTCCTCGGCGGTGGCACCAGGAAGAGTGGCCATGTCCAGCGAGAAACCACTGCGGGTAAGGCGCGACATGGAGCGGAAGCCGCGCAACCCTTGTGCGTCGAGTTTAGCCACATGCTTGAACCAGGCATCGACAGCGGCCCAGTAAGTTTTCTGCGGCAGGTTTGCGCGCGCGAAGCCCAAGCGCGCGCCAGCGACAGGACCATCACGATGCGCCCTCACCGTCACCGACAAAACCACGGCCCAGTTACCGGCACCACCACCAGCCAGCGCCCAGTACAGGTCCCCGTTCTGCGTGGGAGAGACGGTCCGGTGCTTGCCGTCCGTGGTCACGACCTCAAATTCGAGCACCTGGTCAGAGCCCAACCCGTACGACGCGTCTAATGGACCATGGCCTCCGCCTTGCGTGTATCCGCCCATGGCACCAACACTGACGCAAGTGCCGCCCTGCAGAGGTCAGTATATGTCTTGCATGCAATCTGTACATTTTTCAACTTACCACAGTACGAAATCCACGGGCCGCTGCGGCCTCGTAAATCTCGAGCACTTGCATCCCCGCGCCCAGACGCATCGCTGGTCCCGTGTAGCGCGAGCTGGTGTAGTTGAGGACCTCAATCCCCTTCAGATGGTGCGTCCATAACGCCAACGCCCCCTTTCCTGCCGAGCGCCCAAGGAAGTCGTGGCCCGTGTTCTTCACCACGAGTCGCACGTTGTGCTCGCGTGCGAAGTTGACGCCCGCGGCTACCGTGGCAGCATCCGTGACGTTGATGGCATACGATGACATGGCACCCAACGTACAGCTCCCACCGCTGGCTGCGAGGAATGGACTGCACGTGTTGTTCTGCGAGTACGGCGACATGATGTTGACGGGATCCGCGAGGCTATCCAATATTAGTTTCAACAACCTTCGAACAATCACAATCAATGTTGCTTACAATGGACCCAGGGTTGCCCAATCCGTTTGGAGCGACTTGCAAGCGTCACTCGCCGCGCTGGTCGCCACCGCATAGCATGCGGCCTCAGCGACTGGAGCTCCTCGGATCAGCCTGCCCCCGACAGTGCTGTTGAGCATCTTCCATTCTGCCTCACTGGGCCAGTTGTAATCGCCTGGAAGGAGTCGGTATGATACGGTTGCGTTTCCGGACGGGTATGTACGCGCTGGTGCTCCGAAAACCACGTGTGGTAGAGTAACGACAGCAACAACGGCCGCCAAAGAATGAGTGTTGAACAACATAGCTGCTTTCTGCTTATGCTGAATCTACTCTACGCAGAAATGTATCAGTCTTTATATGCCATCTAGCCCCGTAACGCCCCGAAGTCTACGCGTTCACTAGTCAGCAGTGACTCGCAAAATCTGAAATCCTTCACAGCTTCCGTGCCTTGCACCGGACATCCGCTCCAGACCCCAGTAGCAACCTTACGCCGGCCTCAAATTCCATGTCGATCGCCATGTGTAGTGGCGTGCGCCCGGCGTTGTCGTACCCATTGATGACAGTCAGATCAGCCTTGCAATGCTCTAGCAGAATCCTCAATACCGCCTCCCGTCGGTTAGTTACGCCCCAGTGTAGAGCTGACCTCTGGTGGTTGTCCACCTCGGCGATGCGAGCGCCATGCCGCAGCAGCGTATCCGTCACGTCTTCGTATCCTCCCGCAACGGCTAGCATGAGTGGCGTCGTGCCGTCGCTGTCCTTCCCGTTGCAATCCGGGTCCTTATCTAGCAAGAGTCGCAAGATCCTATCATGTCCTTTCTTTGCAGCCATGTGGATAGGGCACATCCAACCAAGGGATGGCCTAAATGCGTGTATCGCATCCTGAGCCGACTGAGCCGGGTAAAAATCGAAGCCATCGTCAGCATCTAGTCTGTGGCTGCCGCGGGATTCGTGAGGCAAACTGCCATCTGCCACTGTTGTGGTTGTATCGCTCAAGCTTGGAGCCTCTAGTACGCCGTGCTCGTTCAGCCCCGGCATGCCGATACCTGAGAGAAAGCCACCAGTCTCGAACATGCACAGGCTTGTGGACGGGCTGAAGATGTCAAGCAGAGCCTCCCTGTCGTCCACGGCGCGGCCGGCTGACTTTTGCTTATCTACGTCTGACTGTTAGTTGTCTCGGACTCTCATGGAAAGTCGGGGCATCTATACTCCGGAAGCGGCGCTGGGCCAATCGATTCTGAGTCCGACGTCGTTCGCCATCGTTCTCACAATTCAGCTCTAGCTCAACTCCAGTGGGTTCCATTGTGTTCTTGCCACAAGGCAACGGGTTTTCCGGAGAAGAACGCAGCGCAAAAAGAAAATCCTTTCGCAGTCTCAGGGCGGGTGAAGTAGTTACTCTAATCACAAGCGGGATGCATGCTTATACAAGGTCATCGCACAATCGCACAACACTGCATGTAAGTCAGGATAAGAAGGATCTGACCTAGGTAACCAGCAGCTATACCACCTAGGCAATGATCAAGAAAGCGACCAGTGTACCTTCCTGTGGTAGACTTCTCAAGCACATCGGTAGCGCAGCGAGGTGGGGCCTATGATCTCGAAGATCGAGTTCACGGATTGCGTGCTAGTATCTCTTATTAAGCATAGTCTGGACGTGGGGGCCTATCGTCGACATGAAGTCGAGAGGGACGGCCCACTTAAGGTGAACTGCACCAAGACACTACGACTTAGTAATCCCCGCTGCCAGGACGGGTAAATTGCCGCTGCTCAAAGGAGCGTTATCCAGCGACTCGGGCTTCAGGCATATTCCCTTTCTGTTCGCGCATGCAGCATCGCATAGTTTCTTGGGTTACATTCTACCTTGTTGCGAGATACGGGTACACGGACCGGAGTGAACCAGCCTAGTGCTTACTTTCAAGTGCCACTGTGGGGGGTGGCCTAACACGCGCCCGCGGCCAAACATCCGTTCGGGCGACCGTAGTTGTTCCCTCCCATGCATACATGGGCAAATCGATTTTTGGAAAACAGGTTGAGCAGCCGTTAGCGTACCAAGCTCTGTCATTACCAATCGGAGAAAACCTTGTTACTGACATCCTCTGTTTGATTGGCTAAAAACGGCTCTGGTACGCTAACGGCTGCTTAACCTGTTTTCCAAAAATCGATTTGCCCATGTATGCCCCCATGTGCAAGGAATGGGCCGCTCAAGCCACACGGGGCAATCCGGAAAAGGGCCGTGCCGCCGGGAAAGAGGCTGTGCCGCGCAGAGATGCCAACAATCAAGTCAATCAATCAATTTGCTTGATCACGAGCCCACGTATGGGGCGTGCACGGTGTCACGAACCACAAAATGGTCTGGGATCAAGCAAATTGATTGATTGACTTGATTGTTGGCATCTCTGGTGCCGCGCTGGTAACCTACTTAGTCTGTAGCTTTCTGTAAGGCCAGCCCTCGCTTATCCATGCACGCCCTTCTTGTGGTTGTATCCATGCACGCAGTGTGTCCATCAACCAAGTAAGTTACTTGCTTGACACCAGGGCGCTAGAGCACTACAGTGGGCCGGACTAAATTAGTTGGAAACTTAAGCACAGACGCGCGACACTGGCCAATCACCTCGAGATGATCTGCTTACGTTAAAGCAACCGGTTGAACCGGTCGGTCCAGTGGGTTCACAGTTGCTTGGAACCCTGGTGTCAAGCAAGTAACTTACTTGGTTGATGGACACACTGCGCTGAAAAAGATGAGGAAGATATGGCTGAGAGGACAGCAGCAGCAGCTCTAACGCTTCGATCTATGTGTGCTCAGTGGCAAATACAATACATGTTGGCTAATATATCGAGCTTCAAAATCGGTGGTCGCGATTTGGTGGGGTGCGTGAAAACTAGGGTTGCATGAAAAGTAGGTTGGCGAGCTTAGTGGCCGTCAAGGGGAAAGTCAATCTCACCCGAACTGGCCAGCCCCTCCGAGACTCTGCCTCATAAGCTCGCTTATCCATGTTAGGAGATTATGCACTAGCGGGAGTGACGGAGTGTCAGGGTAAATGAGGGTTTCGACATGGTTTCGATCTCTCCATGACTTCCCTGTTTTGGCTTCCTATGATCCTATCGGACTTTGCAAACTAGCAGCGCGATTAATGTGGCCACTCGCGAACGCGGCTGAACACTTAGCAGGTACATTTCCGGCATTCCGCAGCGCTAGGGTCCGTGCTACTCGTACTGGGATTCCCTCTTGACAAACCTGGACGGATCAATGGGCAGAGCTCCAGGGGGTTACAAAACCCGGCGACCTTTAATAATTGGACGACTGATCGTGTTATTTTTCGCGAATGATGTTGCGCGACAAACATGTGCCGTCAGGGTGTTATCTTTGGGGTGCATGGAATGGTCGTACTCACCATGCACAGGCGCCTGAAGAGTCCTTGTTAGCGGCGGCTACACCTCGTCGGCTATCCAAATGCGGGACTGCAGGGACGAAAAGACCAGAGCTATTAGGAGGACGTCAATCCTGGCTACTACCCCGCAGCTCTGCCGTTCGCGCAATCACGAACTACCCGACATTCCGCGCTACGGCACGACGCACGTTGCCATGCGTATGAGATCTGTCACGATTCAGGTACGCGTATTGATTCTCTCCACTCCGGCTTCCATACCACTCTCACCTGCATCTTCAGCCCCACTGACCCCATCACGCAGGCGAACCAGTTATGGATGGAGCTCCGACATTAGCGCGTCTCCCCATTTCCTTCGTTCGGCCCCCGGTTCTTCTGACCCTTCCGACACCGAGGCTCGTACAAACGCATTATGCACGCAACATGACCCGCTACTATGGACCAGCCTTCAAAAAAAAGAGTCTCCAAAGCATGTGACGCGTGCAAAAGAAAGAAAGTGCGCTGCAACAGGGAGACGCGCTGCCAGCAATGTGCGTATCTGGGTCTCCGGTGCATCTACTCGCCGTCTAGCAAGCAAAGGTCACAGGGCAAGAGAGGTCACATCATTGCGGAATTCAGGAATCAAACGTCCAACTCACCAACGATTTCACCACCGATATTACCTTCGCGTCCAGGACAAGTCGGCTTTCAGGCGTCGTATAGTCCCATTTCGCCGACGGTTGAACGCACCGGAGCCGAATCTAGTATGTCTCTTTGAAGATTCCAGCTAAAACGTGGAATGCTGCGGCTAACCCAGGGCAGCATCTCCCGTATCTTCATTCACGTCGCAGTACAGCAAGGCATTCTTTCTCGACCTCATACTAGATTACATCGATAGAGTTTACCCTGCCCATCCGGTCATTACCCAATATGAGCTCAGAAAGTACATCGAGATTATGGACACCAACCAAGATGTTCGCTCATTTGTGTACATTTTGGCGGTTGCACACTCAATCTCACACGCTATGGCGATCGCAGAACAGACGAAGTCGTTCAGACCATTGAGAGCCTCATGGACTATTCGATCGAAAACATGAGACCAGCTCACACGCATTTCCACTTCTCAGTGATGTGGGCCGTGCAGTCCATGTTCATACACAACTACCTAATGAGCCGGCAACGCAGCGACGCCGCGTTCTACTACATGAGGGATGCGATTTCGATCATCCAACTCCTGAAAATAGACAACCCAAAAAATGCGGCTCAGATATCGCCTCCGGAGCGGTCTCGAAGACAGCGGCTGTACTGGCAAGCATACATACACGAGCGTTTTCTAGCTATCTTGCACTATCGACAAGCCATTCTGCCCCCGCTCTACACCCTACCTGAAGACGATCCTACACTTTCGATACAAGTTCACGAAGGCTTTAACCAAACCATCAAACTCTTTCGACTGTTGGATAGGGAATTTCTCAACAGCTGGCTTGATTCGCAAGGAGGCAGCGTCACCAGCACCTGGGTCGAGGCCAAATCGCGCGAGCTCGACGGTGACCCGGAAGCCGATGCCAGACTCCGCAACAATCAATTAAGCGGGTCCTAGAAGGTTCAGATTGACTTAATTGATTACCTCTTTAGGCCTAGCAGTTTCCTATACAAGTTTAACTCCTACCTAGATAGGTAAGTGGGTCTCTGACAGAGTCCAGATTGAATTGATTGTTGCGGACTGTGGCCGATGCCCGGGAATTGTCCATGCTGTCCATGATGCAACGTGCCGATCTATCGATAACACGCGAATGGCTGCGCACGTTGGTTTGGCGTTTGGCCATGAGTCGAACACTCTTGTCTTCTCGCTCATGAAAAGAATGCCTGTCGCGCCAAGGCATCGAAGTCCATGGCACCAGCATCACTCAAAAGCTCTTCGAGATTACAGACACCATTGCCGACGTACTGATCCACGTCCCTGCAGCAACTCTTGATGGAAAAGCCCTACGAATAGACGACTTCCTCTTCATCCTCGACTTTGTCCTGCTAATCCCACATCTGGATCAGACGCGCCGCGGCATCTTGCTAGAGAAACTAGAGCGCCTCCAAACCATGTTTCCTGAAGCACTCAGCAATGCTAGCTCGCCCAGTTTGCCACTCGATATGCACAGCCCTAGCGGCGTGAATGACTCTTGGTACCAAGACACACAATCGAAGATGGCTGCAGGCCTTGAGATCATGGCAGACGGGTCGGGGCAAACGCAACATGAGGAGGTGCTGAGACCGGAGGCGCGGAGTGGGCAGTCGGCTACTCGGAATAACGTCTCGCGCCGTTTGTCGATGTAGGTCGCTGCTTTCGATAATCCATAGCTTAGAAAAATAAAAACGCAGTAAAGTCAGGTTCAACACATTACTTCGGGCTTTTCCGACTGCAAGCGGCGATACAGTTCATGACTCTAGCCAATGCGTAAGCAGCTCGTTGAAGGAGGTATAGCCTCCTCCTTTACTCCAAGGTATCTACGCAAGTAAATAAATCCTCCCCTCAAAAGTCGCCAACTCCCTCTCAACACACCCCTCCACACTACTAACCAGGAACTCTATCTTCTGCCCCCTCACAACTCCCGGAAACTCCGAACCCTTCCTCTTATCCGTAAAATTGCAAATGCACACGGCCTTCTTCCCTTGCCACGTCTTGCTGAAGGCGAAGAGATCCTGATCCTCAACGTCCAAATCATTGTATTGCCCCTGCACAAGGAGATCGTTGTGGTGTTTGTGGACTTGCAGGATTCGTTTCCAGAAGGCGAGCACGGAGGTTTTGTCGTTTTGTTGTTTGGCGTTGCATACTGTTGCGTCTTCTAGGGGCATAAGGTGCTGTGAAGGAGGGGGTAAATACTGTAGCATGGCCGATAGCTAGTGGCCTCGTTGTCCTCCTGGGCAGTTGAGATCTTTCTCGCCTTGACTATTCTGATCCTGCTTCTAGTCGCCCAAGCTGGCCAAACGAAACATGTCAAGGAAAAAGAAGCTCAAGGTTATGTCCATGCTCTGTATTGGTTTCATAGTTACGGTTGTTGGCTGCCTTTGTATCTAGGCCTTCATGCGATTTGCTAGGACAGAGACCCAACTTGTAATGCCCGCACAGTGTGTCCATCAACCAAGTAAGTTACTTGCTTGACACCAGGGCGCTAGAGCACTACAGTGGGCCGGACTAAATTAGTTGGAAACTTAAGCACAGACGCGCGACACTGGCCAATCACCTCGAGATGATCTGCTTACGTTAAAGCAACCGGTTGAACCGGTCGGTCCAGTGGGTTCACAGTTGCTTGGAACCCTGGTGTCAAGCAAGTAACTTACTTGGTTGATGGACACACTGCATGCACGTTGTATGTACTCATGACCTACATTAGATAAAGCTGAAACCCAATGTCGCAATCTTCAGCTCAACCGTCTCGCTCGCAAAAACACCACGAAAGAGGTGAAACTCCGGTCTACCGGCCCAATCGCATCACCCTTGGCAATCAGTTTACGTCGCTTGCTCCGTCGCACAATACATCTCCGGCTGCACTTTACAAGGTCTAGATTCGCGAAACGGTTCGCTTGGCTTACACTACATTCTCAGCCCCACGGGGCCCGTGGGACTAGAGGGTTACTATGTTTACTCATCCAGCAAGGCCACCCGCCCAGACACACACTACCTTGCATCCTTCTCAAGGCGCCTTCACAAACGCCTGCGTGTCGCCCCTGAGAACTGCCTTGATGAACGCATCCATATCCGTCACCAACTGCCCCACGTCCTCGCCAGTCACTACATTCAAATGGCCCTTTCCTTTAGCCCAGTACACTTGACTCGGCGCCTTGATTCTCGCGACGCTCTCAGCCTGCTCCTGCGGCGACGAGATGTCGTCGAATTCCGGAATCACCGTCATAACCGGGCAGCGTATCATATCCAGACACTCCTTTGGGCGGAACAGCGCAAGCTTCTGGTACGTTTGCAGGGCAATGCGGTCGCGGAAACCCTCTGCGCCCTTCTCGGCGGCCAGCTGCATGAAATGGTAGGCTTCGTCTCCGCCGGGTCCGCCAGAGCCAGCCATACCGATGGGGTTTGTGCCGTCGGGTGAGAAGGGCTGCAGTGAGTAGGGCTCGTTGCCGCGGAGTTGCGACACGCGGTCCTTGATGACTTGAGCGAAGGCGGCGTCTTCGCGCGAGGGTTGCACGTAGCTGAAAAGCGGGCACACCATGATGACGGCTTTGGCGCGGTGGTCGACGGCTGCGTTGCAGGCGCTGACTACGGAGCCGAAGGATAGTCCCCAGAGGATTATCTTGGTGGCGTCTACGGTGGGGAGGCGAGAGACGTAGGTGTATACATCTGGGGAAGAGAGGATTAGTAACGCGATGGGAAAAATTAAGGTGGGAGATATTGTACGCACCGGACAAATCCTCTGCGAACTGTAGCGGGTTCACCAGGTTGCGGGGTGTGCCGCCGCTGTTTCCTACACTGCGTGCATCGTACAGGAGTACGTTGTAGCCCAGAGCGTGGAAGAGTTCGGCTACGTCTGGTAGTGCCATCTCTTTGACGCAGTTGAACTGTAGCCACATTGTAAGTACATTTTTCCACTGAGGGATAAGGGTATGTTAGAGACGTACACCGTGAGACATGATGATAGCCGGAGCCAGCCCAGGGACTTCGTAAAGCCAGCCGGAAATGTCCGTGCCATCGATGGTCTTGCATTCGACCACGCGGTGCGGTGAACTGGGAGCCATTGTGAACTGAAGAAGCAGGGTAGAGTAGTAGTTGCGGTGGATACTCGAGTGCTGAGCTGCTACGAGAGAAGAATATCTCGCCGTTGATGTTATCTGTATTTAGCTTGAATCAACTGTGTGCCATAGATTGATATGTTGAGTGTAGTCTACGTACTACTCAGTCCCTTGCTGACAGTAACACGTGCTCCGGTCCGCGGGCTAGAAGATGATGACATTGCATATGAGACTAAATTACACGATAAGCTTGCCGAACATCGTCACTGTCACATGTAAGGTAATCAGTGATCATCGCACCAAGACTGCATAGTCATTGGGACCACCGTGATTATACGCAAGGTAAAGTAATGGCAAATCGTGCTTACCATGACTCTGCAAGACCGATATCGCAGAAGACAGACAAGGAGTTCAGACAAGTTCTGTGAAGTATATGTTAGCTCTCCGTCGCCCGTTAGAGACGAGCAAGTATAGCGAATTTCATGTAGTTGTACTTTCTCATTATGGCACAAACCACTTTTCAACAGGAGCCCATGGCCATCGTCGGCTTTGCCTGCCGTCTCCCCGGTGGCAACAACAGCCCACAGAAGCTGTGGGAGTTCCTGGAGAGCGGCGGCGTGGCGCCAAACAAGGTGCCCAAGTCACGCTTCAATATCGATGGCCATTACGATGGCTCGCAGTATGTAATATCCTTGTTAGAAACTTACATGTGAAATGGAAACTAACTTGGGGAATCTACCTACAGCAAGCCAGGTACTATGCGGCCGCCGGGTGGCATGTTTCTGTCAGACGACATCGATCTCGCGCATTTCGATGCGTCTTTCTTTGAGACTTCGGGCTCGGATGCGATTGGAATTGATCCGAATCAACGGCAATTGCTAGAGGTCGTGTATGAGGGGCTTGAGAGCGCGGGGTTAACGCTTGAGAAGCTCGACGGTGCACCCGTGGCGTGTTTTGTGGGGTCGTATTCGTCTGGTATGTCATTTTGTTATGTTGTTGTAGATGATTGGATACTAACCTTGACCTACCTCAGATTACCATGCCATGCTCAACCGAGACGGCGAAGATGCACCACCAAACTTTGTCGCCGGGACAGCTCGCGCTATGCTGGCAAACCGTGTCAGCTACTTCCTAAACATCAAAGGGCCCAGTGTCACTGTCGACACGGCCTGCTCTGGTAGTTTAGTGGGTCTCGATCTCGCATGCCGCTCTCTGCAGATGGGAGAAGCAAACCTCGCTATTGTGGCTGCTAGTAATCTTTTCCTGAACCCGGAGCACGTCATGGATACGGGCGGCATGGGACAAGCACACTCGCCCACGGCTCTCTGTCATACATTTGACGCCGACGCCGACGGATATGTCAAGGCCGAGGCGGTCAACTGCTTGATCATCAAGAGGCTGGCGGATGCCATCCGGGGCCGTGACCCTATCAGAGCAGTTGTAAGGGGCACTGCGTCCAACAGCAATGGACGCACGGTGGGCGGCATCGTCTCCCCCAATTCCGTGGCACAAGCTACTGCCATTCGGACCGCATATGCCCGGGCTGGTATCAGCGACTTCAACGAGACCGCCTACCTGGAATGTCACGGTACTGGCACACCAGCCGGCGATGCCGCCGAGGTCAATGGCGCAGGCTCCGTCTTTGGCCGGACTCGCGACACTGCTCGTCCACTTCTCATCGGCTCCATCAAGAGCAACCTTGGCCACGCCGAGCCAGCAGCAGGCATTTCAGGCGTCATCAAGGTGATTCTTTCCATGGAAAAGAACCAAATCCCCGGCACTCCGACTTTCATAAAGCCGAGCCCCAAGATCGACTTTTCAGGTAACAGGGTCAAGGCCTCGCGGAGGGTCGTTGCATGGCCAAACCAAGGCTACTCAGTCAAAAGGGCCAGCGTCAGCTCCTCGGGCTTCGGCGGGTCCAACGCCCACGCTGTCATTGAACAACACACAGAGATGGGTGCTGGCAAGACGTACGCCCACTCGTATCAGACTGGTTTCCCGGACCTGGGAGACGACGACGATGCCAATGAACTGCCGAGCGTACTCGTCTTGTCAGCCAACGATGCCACTGCGCTCAAAGCCAGCATCAACGCGTTGTGCAATCACCTGATCAACCCGGCCATTCGAACGCCCATGCCTGATCTGGCATACACGCTTTCAGAGCGTCGAAGCCGCTTTTTCCACCGCGCTTTCGTGACAACTACCTCGTCTGCTAACCTCGACGATGGCGACTTTGTCGTGTCTAAGAAGCTGTCGCACGAGCCCAAGATCAGCTTCGTCTTCACAGGCCAGGGCGCACAATGGCCGCAAATGGGCAAGGACCTGCTCAGGTTTCCCTTGGCTCGCTCGATACTCAAAGAGCTGGATGAGGTTCTCCAGGCCCAGCCAAATCCGCCTGCCTGGACCCTTTTGGCTGAATTGACCGAGCCGCGCTCAGTCGACCATCTTCGCCAGCCGGAATTCTCGCAGCCGCTCGTGACGGCGCTGCAGCTCTGTCTCTTTGCCCTCTTCAAGTCGTGGGGTATCACGCCCAACGCCGTTGTTGGACACTCATCGGGAGAAATTGCAGCGGCGTATGCGGCTGGCCATCTTGATCTCGCTGGCGCTATCAAGGCTGCATTTTACAGAGGCCGCGCTGCTGTGAACCGCAAAGACGAGTCTGAATCAGATGTGGGTATGCTTGCTGTTGGGCTCGGCCCTGAGCGCGTTGCGCCTTTCATGAAGAAGTATTTCCAAACAGGGCGTAACATTTGGATTGCGTGCTTCAACAGCCCAAGCAGCGTCACCGTTTCCGGCAACAAACCAACACTGGAGGCTCTCGCCGCCGATATCAAAGCCAGTGGGCACTTTGCAAGGCTCTTGCATGTGGATCTTGCGTACCACTCGCCTATGATGGACGTCATTGGCGACGAGTACAGTAAACTCCTGGCTTCGGACGAGGCATTCAGGCCGCTGAGTGGAAACACTGACGCGAAAGTTGCCATGTTCTCCTCCGTCACAGCCAGTGAGTTGAATGGCTCCACAGATGCAGACTACTGGAAGTCCAACATGGTTTCTCCGGTCCGTTTTGCTGAAGCTCTCACCCAACTCGTCGCTAACGAGTCGCCCGACATTATCATTGAGCTCGGCCCCGCAGGTGCCCTGGCAGGCCCAATCTCCCAGATACTCAAAGACAAGGCTCTGGAGAGTAGCAGGGACGTCGTATACTGGGCATCTTGGGCGCGTGGAACGGGATCAGTTAAAGCCTTGCTCACTGCAGCTGGCCGCTTGTTCAATGCTGGTGCGCCCATCGATATCTGTAAGGTCAACGGACTCGACAGGGACAAGATGCGCATCCTTGTCGATCTACCCAGCTATCCTTGGAACCACTCAGTCAAGTACTGGCATGAAAATGCGGCAAGTGTTGACTGGCGAACCAAGCGCTATGCCAGTCACGACCTCGTCGGCAGTAAGGTCTTGGGAACCTCGTGGACGGCGCCTACCTGGCGCAAGCAGCTGCGGCTGAGCGACGTGCCGTGGCTGCGCGACCACACATTGGGCTCTGATGTCTTACTGCCCGGCGCAGCGTTTGCTGCCATGGCTCTCGAAGCCATGTACCAGAAGCACTGTGCTCTGTACCCCGACGAGACTGAGAATGTCACTGGGGCGAACGACCTGTCATACCGCTTCCGCAACATCAAGTTCGACCGCGCCGTTGTAGTCGAAGACTCCAAGCCGACAACGGTACTGTTGACGCTGACTGGTGTGCCTGGGAGCAAGGACTGGCACGAGTTCCGCGTACGGACCACGGCAGACGACGTCGTCTACGAGCACTGCTGGGGCATGATTCGCGTGCAAGAACCTCTGGCCGACGACGAGACGTCGCGAAGCGTAGCAAGTGCTCCGTTACGCCACCCACAAGCTGCTGGGCTATGGTACAAGAGACAGGACGAAACCGGCACCCATTTCGGGCCGTCGTTCCAAAAAATCAAGCATTTCGAGGCTGTCAGCGGGCGCCGCGACTGCCGTGCAGCTCTTGATCTAACGCCGCCGCCGTCGCGATGGGACCCTCAGTCATACTACCCTCTGCACCCTGCTGCCCTCGACGCATGCTTCCAGAGCTCGATCCCGGCTGTTGTGGGCGGAGAGCGCAGTGCTTTGCGTGAAGTGCTTGTGCCCGCGCAAATCGACGACATGGTCATCAACAAGATGCCGCGCCAGCTGCAGAACGGCATGGCCGCGGCTGAAGCAACATGGTCAGGCCGTGGGCGCAAAGAGAAGAACCAGACTTGGACCGCCAGCATTGCTGTCCGTGATGCGGAGACTGGCCAGTTGTATGTGCGTGTGCGAGGATTGGCCAACAATAAGCTCGACGTGCAGGAAAAAGCCGACGTTCATGTGTTTCAAGCGCTGCGCTGGAAGTCCGACATTTTTCTGCTGTCGCAAGACCAGTTGTTGTACATGGACCCGTCAGGGGCCGAGGGGACTTCACTGGACGACATCATCGACCTTGTCGCGCACAAGACGCCGCGGCTTAAGGTACTCGAGATAGCCATCGACAGTGCGAGTGCAGCCGATCCGCTTTGGCTGCATAACAGCAGTGGCAGCGGTGTCAGGGCTGCTAGAGTCGCTTGTGCGCACTACGACTTCGCCACTTCTGAGGCGCAAACCTTGGTGGCGGTACAAAGTGCACACAATGGGCATGCTCGCGACTTCCATTTGCTTCATGCCAACCAGGACGCTCTCGGCCTGCCTGCCACGGGGCCTACGTATGACCTTGCCATTGTGAGAGGGCCGACCAAGACCGGCGATGGCATCATCGACAAGATTAGATCTCTGCTCAAGCCTTGCGGAGTGTTGCTGCGCATGCCGGATGAGTCTGACGTGGAGAGTGCAAATGGAAGCGGCGTGCAGACGCCGTCATCATCATCAGGTGAAGCATTGAGCGAGACCTCGGAGGGCTCCGGCTTCCTGGTGGATACCGGTGCGTCTGCGAAAGTGCGCGATGCCGATGAGATTGAAGAAATGGTAGTTCCAGGCATTCCAGCTGCGTGGCTATCCATCAAGGCACACACTCGTACAGTGGCAGCCGACGCTGGACCGCTCCTGGTTCTCCAATTTGACGACTCATCGCCCCCGCTTGCGCCAGGGCTGCGGACAGTGCTGACGGCGGCGGGCTGGAAGCTGAAGACAGCATCTGTTTCCAAGCTCTCTGATGTCTCGCAGGCCGTGGCTCAGGCGGCGGCCGTGCTGGTCGTCGACGAGATGGCAGCGCCGGTGCTGGCAAACATCAGCGAGCGACAGTGGGAGGCGCTGAAGCAAGTAGCTTCGTCCAGGAAACCCCTCGTGTGGGTCACCAAGGGTAGTCAGACAGCAGAACGCGTCACTGACCCCGATCGTGCCCTCGTCCATGGCCTGTTCCGAACATTCCGCCGCGAAGAGTTGGGCGCGCGCCTGACAACGCTCGATGTGCAAAGCGCTGCCAGTCCCGCCGCTCATCGTGCAGTCGAGCGCGTGCTGAGTTCGACTTACAGCCGCCCTGAAACATCGGACGACTACGAGTACGCTGAGCGTGACGGCGTGCTGCTCGTGCCTCGCCTCATGATCGACAACGAGCTCAACGCCTTCAAAGCGGCTTCCGCTGGCATTGGCTTAGAGCCCATCACCAAAGGCCTTCATTCCACTAACGCCGCTGTGAGACTGCGCACCGAAGTCGTCGGTTCTCTGCAGAAGTTGGTATGGAGCGAAACGGCCGTTTCTGACCTTCCTTTGGCAGACACCAGTGTCGAGGTGGAGGTCGTGGCCGTGGGCGCAAACTTCAAGGATGTAGCGACCGCCATGGGCATTGTGCCTGAGAACGAGTACATGCTGGGCTTCGAGTGCTCCGGCACTGTCAGACGCGTTGGTGCTGGTGCTGCTTCGCGCTTCCGCCCAGGCGATCGTGTTGTTGCCCACACCAACGGCAGTTATGCTAATCGCGTCCAGACCTCCGCTGACCGCGTTCATGCCATTCCTGACACGATGAGCTTTGAAGATGCTGCGACAATTCCAGTCGTTTACGTTACAGTCGTGTATTCACTGTTCCATCTTGCGCATCTTCGCGAAGGCCAGTCCATCCTTATTCACTCGGCCGCTGGAGGTGTTGGGATTGCGGCTATCCAGCTTGCTCAGTACGCCAAAGCAGATGTGAGTACCAACTTTACAACCTTGGTTTCACTTTACTAATTCTCCCTCACAGATCTTCGTTACCGTCGGCTCCGACGAAAAGCGCGAGTTGCTGATCAAAGAATTTGGCATATCGCCAGATCGCATCTTGTCATCACGTAACATTGGTTTTGCCGACGCTATCCGGCGTGCAACCAACGGCCGTGGTGTCGACGTCGTCCTCAACTCCTTGGTTGGCGAACTCCTCGACGAGTCGTGGAGGCTCACCGCCGACGGAGGCACCATGGTAGAAATCGGCAAGCGCGACATTGTCGACCGCAACACTCTGGCCATGGAACCCTTCAACCGCAACTGCTCCTTCCGCGCCGTCGATCTCTCCTACACACCCGACATTAGCGATGCGCTCATTGCCAAGCTCCTTGCCGAAGTCTTTGACCTTGTCAATGCCGGCCACATCGGTCCCGTCCATCCAGTCACTGTCTATGGGTTCGACCAAGTCATCGACGCCCTTTCCGAGATGCGCAGCGGAAAACACATGGGCAAGATTGTCATCTCTAGCGGCACGGAGGACGTGCAATTGCCCATTCGCCCAGCCGTCCGCGAACTCGAGCTCAAAGCCGATGCCACCTATGTTCTCGTCGGCGGCCTCAAGGGTGCCTGCGGCAGTCTTGCTGTTCACATGGCCCGCCACGGAGCACGGCACCTCATTTCTCTGAGCAGGAGTGGTATGGGCGACAAGGGATCTGCTAAGATTGTCGAGCACTGTGCATCGTACGGCTGTGAAGTAACAGAAGCCAAAGGCGACGTAGGGGACCTAGCCTTCGTCAGCGCCCTCTTCCGCTCTGTGCAGCATGGATACATTGCCGGTGTCATTCAAGGAGCCATGGTCACGCGCGACAAGCCGTACGAACTGATGACCCACGACGACTACCACACGGCCATCCACGCCAAGGTCAGGGGAACATGGAACCTCCACCTTGCGGCGCAGCAGGAGCAGAAACAACCCCTCGACTTCTTCTCCCTGTTATCCAGTGTCTCGGGTGTGACAGGCATGAAAGGCCAAGCCAACTACGCCGCAGCCAACGTCTTCCTCGACGCGTTTGCGCATTACCGCCAATCACAAGGCCTGCATGCCAACTCCATCGATCTGGGAGTCATCGAGGACGTTGGCTTCATTGCCGAGATGGAAGGCGGCGACGAGCTTGCCGCACGATTCGACCCGAAGGAATGGCCACCCATCAACGAAGATATGCTGCGTCAGATTCTCACTTACTCGATCCTCCAGCAGGACGATCCCAGGAGCCCTCTTAGCGGCGTAAGTACCGCTCAGCTCATCTCCGGTCTGGGCTACCCGCTGCCTGCAAACGCAACGCTGGCAGATAATCCCCGATTCGACTATCTCTTCAACGCGAGTGCCGGTAGTGACGCCAGTAGCGATGAGTCTGCATCCAGCGACAGCGCTGTCGACCAGGCTATTCGCGCTTTCAAGGTCCAGCATACGTCGGGCAGCCCGGACGCCGCGCTCATCAAGACGGCACTGCAGATTCTCCAGTCGCAGGTTACGCTGCTGCTGCGTCTTGAGACGGAGATTGAGCCAGGCAAGCCTCTGCTGTCGTATGGTCTTGATTCGCTGTCGGCTGTTGAACTGCGTGGCTGGATTAGGCATCGCCTTGGGGCGGAGTTGAGCACCCTGGATATTACGAATGCGAGCTCGCTTGTTGCGTTGTGTGAGAAGTTGGTGGATAAGCTACCGAGGGCGGATGGGGATAAGTGAGGAGGGGTTTATGGGTAGGAAGCATTGGGATGAGGTTTCTCTATTGGTATGGCTACTAGAGAGAGTAGAAGGGGGTGGGGTCGTTGCAATCTCTTGTATTTACTATAGTGTTGTCGTTATGTTCACTGCTTCTGATAGATAGACTGTTTTTCACCGCTTCGATAGATTGTAACGAGGAGGGTACAGTGGGGCTGCACCTCTACGTGCAGCAAATACAACAAGTACCATGAGCCTACCTTCCACCAACCTGCACTGAACCCACATGTTCTCAACACATTCCCACCACTCCCTCTAAAAAGCAAATCTGCTCCATACACACCTCCCAGTTACTTCTTCAATCTCTCACATCACATTTGCTGCAAAAGGCTTTGCCAATCCCTCAGCAACTATCCCACACGTAGACCACATCACGTTCGCCTCGTTCTGCCAGGTCTCCAATGAAGTGATAGCAGACGTCGATATGCTTTGATCTTTCGTGAAGGTGAGGGTTCTGTGTAAGTACGAGGGGGCTCTGCGTCGAATGCGGACCAAATTGGGTCGAACACCTAACACTGCGGTGTTCATTAGGGTCTGCATCACCCGCAAAAATGCAATGTTGAGCTCTGGGATTTCGACTACCACAGTCCGCAACAAGCAAGCGATAGACAGATTGATTACCGCATTAAGCGTAAAAAGACCACAGTCTGGCTCGTGCCACGCCTAATGCGGTAATCAATCTGTCTATCGCTTGCTTGTTGCGGACTGTATCGACTACGCAATCACGCATATGGTGCAAGAAGCTGGTGTTAAGTCACTTTATCGTAAGCACACTGTTTCTTTTGAACGCCAGGCTGAGCAGTCTCCCAGCATGTGAACCTTGTTGGTGTGTCTTTTTCGATGTACTTTGGGAATACAAGATTGCTAGATACATTGGCAATCCACTGGCTTTGCTTGTAGCAATGTTGAAATATCACGTATCCAAATTCGCATGTTGGTGTTGCCACTGATTGTTAGTTTTTACTTGAGCAAGATATTGTGCCAGGTCCAACTCATTGTCGCGATCACCAGCTCAACCGCTCGCTCACAAAACAATACGAAAAGATATCAGGCCTCCATAGAACATCGCAGTGCTCCCTGGGACGCCTCTTTCGCTCCATAGTATCGGCTTGCCTGATTGGATCGGCCGCTAGTGCCGGTTTCGGTAAAGTCGCTTTCCTTCACTCGAAATCGTAGTTCAGTCTCCAATGAAAACACATGCATTACAACTGTCGAATCCACACATTCCTTATGCAGCTTTGCTTGAATGTATGTAGGGTAAGCACGGCTGAATCGACCGTGTTTACTGTATGCAGTGTAATCACCGACATACTATATGCAGAGTAATCCTTGGCATGTTACTATGCAGTGTAATCATGCAAGCGGCTGCAACGGCTAACATACATATTTCCCACGTCTCTGGATAGCCTTCAAAACAGTCGCGATACTGTGTTTTCTTTGCTTTCTGTGTACAACGCAGGTGGTGTATTGTATGGTATCATTGATAAAAACTATATAGAACCCATCCATGCAGGTCACGTGACAGGAGGCAACTATCAAAACACTATCGCGCATCATGATTGTCCGAACAGATCCGTTTCCGTACTTCTGGGCCTGCTCGGTGCTGGGTCTCCTCTACGGCCTCGTCAAACTATTGCGCTTCGGCCATCGCGAGAAGCATCTTCCCCCAGGCCCACCGACATTGCCAATCCTTGGAAATGCGCACCTCACCGTCGACCCAAAGATTTTCAAGAAGTAAGTAACATCCCATTCCATTTTCCCTTCTCTGCTGGCTGGCTGCTTGCCAACAACAACGACTAACTGGCGCGTTTGTTAGATTCAAGAAATGGAGCGCAGAATACGGCGACGTCTTTTCGCTCAAGGTCGGAAAAAGCACAATGGTCGTGTTGAACAGTAAACGTTCCGTCTACGAGCTCGTCGATCAACGGAGCGCCCTGTACTCAGCAAGGCCAATAGACAAACGGTTCCGCCATGCGATGAGGGAGAACTTTGCCTTTATGGACCCGACTCCGATTTGGAGAATGCAGCGGAAAATCGCGGTCCGCTATTTGGCGCCGGAGAAACTGGATGGCGATTTGGACAAGGTTTCAAATGCAGAGTAAGTTGCAATGTTTATTGCAGGACTTCTAAGGGCTGAGCAGCACAGCCATGATATCTACAGTTATACTGACTAAAAGGCAGAATCACTACATTACTTAACGATCTACTTGATAGTCCCGAGGACTTCATAAAGCATATCGAGCGATCGACTGCTTCGTTCACCGCGATTGTGCTGTATGGACAGCGTGCCAAGTCCAACGATGACTTTTGGGCGAGAGTAAGCCCATCTTCCAAAATAATCCCTTCATATCAACCATTGCTAACGCATTGCAGGGCGTCTACGAAGCTATGGAGGCAGTAAGCGACCCCACTCTGTTGCATTCTGAACTGAAAAAGCTGACCGTGGTAACACCAGATTATGCGCGCCATAAGCCCTGGCTCCTACCTGCCCGCCGAGCAATTCCCCATCTTCAAACTGATTCCAAAGCGATTTGACCCTTCCTTTGCCCGCGCAGAAGAGGGCTACGCTATCCCTACAAGGATATGGACCGAGGCCCAACGGCGCGTCGAACTGCGCCGCAGCCACGGCGACAAGCGCGAATCGCTCATTGACGACCTGCTCAGCGCCGAGAAGGAACTAGATCCCGCGTTCCAGGGCACAATGCTCGCAAATTATCTTGGTGCGGTGATGCAGGCTGCTGCCGAGACGAGTGCCTTGTCCACAAAGACAAACATTATGTTTTTGGCCACGCATCCGGAGGTGCAGGATAAGGCGCAGGCAGAAATCGACGCCGTTTGTGGTGTGGAGAGGCTTCCTTGTTTTTCGGACTTCAAGGATATGCCGTATATTAATTGTGTTGTCAAGGAGAGCCAGCGCATTCGCCCAGTGTAAGCCAGCCATTCCCAGCTCGTCTACTTGTCCTTTGCCACCACTAACATTATCCCACAAAGCGTTCCCACTGGCATCCCTCACCGCTGCACACAAGATAACTGGTACAACGGCATGCTTATCGTAAGTCGCAACTCCATCTTCCACACATATACACACACATCCAAACTTCACAACAACTAACCCGCACCTCCCTCAGCCCAAAGATGCAACCATCATAATCCCCCACTGGGCCATCCACCACTCAAAATACGAAGACGCAGAAACCTACAACCCAGACCGCTACCTCAACCACCCCCACCTCGCCTGGGACTACGCCGGAACAAAAGACTTTGAAAACCGCGACCACTACAACTACGGCGCCGGCCGCCGCATCTGCGCTGGCATCCAGCTTGCCGAGCGGACGCAGTGGCGCCAGGTTGCACGCATTCTGTGGGCGTTCCGACTCGAGCATGCGGTTGATGAGAAGACGGGAGAGAAGATTCCTATCGATCTGGATGCGTATGAGGATAAGATGGTTTGTGGACCGGAGCCGTTCAAGGTTAAGTTTACGCCGAGGAGTCAGGCGCATGTGGATTTGATTAGGAAGGAAGTGGGGGATGTGAGGGAGATTTTGAGGGCGTGGGAGTGAGGGTTTGCGGGGGTGTGTTTTGTTGATGTTTGAATCGCGTTGGGTTGGTATAGGATACATCTTGGTGGAATCTTCATGCAATGGTGGAGGCTATAAAGTCTTGTATCTCAGTTTTATACTCTTGCGTTCTGTCAAGGTATCTACAATCGAAGAAATACACCTGAATGCAAGTCTTCCAATGACAGATGTCGCAGGCCAAGCGCTGTCGGGAACATGAACCTTATTACTAATAACGCTGTGCGATGACCTCCATATAAGCTGAGCTATGATGCTAGAACAATACAACACATACACACTTCATAATTTCTCGTACTTGCAACACCGCACCTAACCGTGCGACAACAGACGTGCCCCATCTTCCTCAACTTCATTCTTAACAAGCCACGCCACCGATATTGTGATAGTAAACTTGGTGTAGTAGGCGGCGCACCCACGCAGTTTCTTTGGCAGAGTACGTAAAAGCGACAAACTCAGCTTCAGACGAGGAGCTGGTGATAATTTGCGGTCGATAGGACTTGAAGGAGACGAGTGCGCCCATGACATGGACAATGACGCAACGCACGTCTGGGATGTCGACACATATGCCCAACACGTTCGTTGCTACGATCACGCGCTTCCTGCTGAACTTGAAGTCCGAAAGCATGCTGTCTTTGCCCACAGCGTCTGCGTGGTAGCGTAGCATTCCAAGTGCTCCGCTATCACGTTGGCTTTCGGCTTCGAGTTGGTGTTTACGACGACCTTGCCTGTTCTGTACTTGCGCAGTTTTCCGCTGCACCAACCGGACCATCGGACTCTGCTTCTTCTTTCTTAACAGACCTGCCGATTTGATTGTGTGGTATGCAACTTTCGTTCTTGTCGTTGGGTCTTGCGTCGAAACAGCTCGTTCTGCTCCGACGGCGGCAACGTCGCTGTTAGGTACCTAACAACACCATCCCGAGGTCTGCGTCTCAGCGGCGGATAATCTGCCCAGTTTCTGCATCTCCCTGCGGAACCGCACGGCACGAAGCGCATTTCTGGCAAGCCCTCATTTTCAGTGCGGCGAGTGTGGCGGGTGCATTTTCCGGCCACAGAAATGTATTGGCGGCTGTCTATAACTAGCCATGTGGTTCGCTGAAGATGAAGTCTCCATGCATTCATCGAATTTGTGACATAAGCGATACGCTTTGCGTTCACTCCAGCATTGCATAGGATAAGGGCGTGACGCTACATAGAGGCCTCTTGTCAGATGAAATGCTAAAAATGAGCTCAGGAGAAGTTGATGATTGCGATGATGGATTATCTCTTGATCATTGTTGTTTTTCGTTGGTCTGTTCTCTCTCCTTTTTGAACATAAACCTGATACATCGGTGATACCTAGGTGATACATAGGTGATACCGTCCACGATGCAGTATCGCTTACTTCATCTGACACCTCTACATCCGTTGCAATGACTAGGATCTTTCGAGAAGGAACCACACAGCTCCATCTTATATCGTATGGAAATAGAGAATTGAAAAGTGGTGCACAACATAAAATGACCGGCACAATTGCCATGCGTTCACAACGTCTGTGGCATGGCTCTGTGGCATGGCCCTGTCGCTCTTCTCCAGAGTTGCCAACAAGCAAGTCAATCAATCAATTTGCTTGATAACGGACCATATAGAGGTCCGTGACACTGTGCACATACCAGAGAGAGGTCCGTTATCAAGCAAATTGATTGATTGACTTGCTTGTTGGCAACTCTGCTCTTCTTAACGAGTCGAAATGCCGACGGCCGATAAACGGTCATGCGATGTATTCACACCGCGCTTTTGGGTGAAACAGCAATCCCATCCCCAGTCTCTCCACTCAACGGTCGACGGAGCCTTGTGATACTTTTGCCTATGGAATGCTTGCAGCCCGAAAAAAACCATGCCCGTGCAAACCACGAGAATCACCAACACCACGAGCGACCACCAAAATGGTACATGGGAGTCGTTGATCTCTTTGAGGGTCATGCCGAAGACCCCGGTAAGTACTGACAGTGGAAGATACAGTGTGGCTAGCTGCGTCAACCATGCTGAACGTTGGGCCTGCTCACTGCTGAGAATCGCTTGTCTGTTGCCAGGCTTGCTAATCAATCAATTCAATTCAATTTCGGTCCTAGTTTAATTGAGTTGCTTATGTAATCGCGAAAAGACAAGTTGAGTTGAGTTGAATTGAAGCAACTCTGTGTTGATTGACAACATATTGCCAAGATATACGGACAGGGGTATGCAATGCAAGCGAACCAATCACATTTCAGCGACTGGTCTTGGCGAAATGTGATTGACTTAACGAGGTGCTCACCGAAAAGCTATCAGGAACTATACCCAATCTCTGCCAGTTTGCCAGACAGATAGATCCACCGATGACATCGTCTTAAGCCTTCCCCGATTGGCCACTGTTAGAAGACCGCTAAGGCTAAAGATGCGCTCTGGTTCATCACTCATCGGTGGAATAGATAGTATGTCTAGCGCCATCTTCGCAAGCCGAGGCCAAACGCGCCGTTTCTCTAACCAGTATGCCATGGGGGTGTTGCAAGCCTGGTCCTCAGGTGTAACACCTTGTGATATGTATGATTCGTAGTCGTCAGGCTGATCCGTGGCTGGGGAATATGGGCCCATGACAGAATTGATGAAATCGTCCAGATCCGATTTTAAGATCATATCGCGTTGCTGGGGCTCGCAGAGTTCGAGTTCATCCGGTAGTGGCTGGTTCCTATAGTCAACAGTCAAAAGCTCTCTGACTGCTTTCTTAGCGTCCTGAATCCAGTCCTTATGATCAGCCCATTGCTTCTCAAAGTACTTCCACTTCCACTTCGGGTTCAAGACTACTGCAGCGACGTAGATAGGTGACTTCTCAGTAAGCAGATAGTATTTATCAAGCTTAGCCCAGGCTTGGGTAATGCCGCGTCGGAAATGAGGATCCGGATGGGACTGATACTCTTCCTTGAAGCTTTCGAACCTATGGAGTAGCCACTCCATCGTAGGTAGTACATGCCAGATACCGGTATCTGAATTGCGGCTTGGTCTACCTTGCAGCTTTAAGGTGGCCTTTTCGAGAGGCTTCAGAATATCCAAGTAGATCGCAATAACAGCCCAGTCGTCGGCAGTTAGATAGTCTTCGGCTATCGATGGCTTCTGCGCAGAGCGGTGCGAGTTCCATTTGTAGACTTCTGGTGCTATTATTTCGTCAATCACGTTTCGAAGCTCGACTGCGCGCTGCATCTCGGCCAGGTTTGAATTCCACCGGGTGTCGTTTGCAAGAATCAGGTTGTATACAGGCTTCGTGGCTGCATCAGGATCGCCCGTAGTAATATAACTGGCCCGCTGGCGGTTTTGAAACTCTCTTTGTCTCTCTGCAGAGGACCGGATCCAAACAACTACATTGTGAAGCTTCCCGATAGGCCCTAGCGCCCGCCACTGCTTCTGCTGTTCGATGATTTCAACCATGGACTCCTGATTCTCCTCCTCAAAGCCATCAGGATTCTCGCCGAAGAGAAGCGCCCGAGCTGCCAAATTAATAACATGGCCCATACAACGGATGCATCGCCAGCCATGTTGATAGCCAAAAGCTTCTTCCAGATCTTTTACGCACGTATCATTTTCAGAAGCATTGTCCGCAACGAAATATCCGAGCTGTTGAGGTGGGATCTTAAATCGGTCAAGAATCGATTGGATAGTAGCAGAGATTTTCACGCCTGCGTGTCCGATCTGCTCTGGAAGCGAGAGAAGGACGGGTTTGTACTCGAACTCTCGACAAAGGAAATGTGCGACAACACCTACTAAGGGGTTAGCTTGGAAGAAGCAGTTAATGTGCTACTTACCAGCTAGGCATCGCATCTGCCTGCTTGTCCAGATATCAAACGACAGATGTATCCGCGTGGTAGCGTTCTGAAGCAGATCAACAATGACGGGTAGGTGCCGCTCGTACTCGTCAATGATCATGCTCCGCATCGTCGTGTGGTGAGGAATATGAGGCCGGCTCTGGGGACGGAGATATTCGCATAGCTTGCGGAAATGCTCGCTCTCAAGCTTATGAAAAGGAATAGCATCAGACACTACCCAAGAAAGAAGAAGCCTCTTGAAGCGTTCAGGGTCGAATCTACTGTTCATCCAATTCATTACCTGCTGGTCTTTTGGGTCGTCCGCATTTAGCTGTAATTGCTCGAACACTGTACGGCTGCGTTTCCTAGAGAGAGGCCCATTTTTTGATATCCAATGGACGTTGAGAAGATGTTTCTTGATATTGTCGACTCCGGCAATGATGTACTTAGTCGTGCGATAGGGCTTTTACGAATGGCACTCGCGACAGAGCCAGTAGCGCTCTAAGCTCAGCCCTTGTTGAACATAGTAACCGTATTTCCAAAACCAAGCGCGCAACTTGTCGCTGGTTGGTGGATGTAAGTAGATGGTGTGTATTGTGTGTATTGTCCTTAATCACCGAGAGGTCTGTGATCTAAGCTTATATACATAGAGTAGTGGGCTGATTGGTCGCTGGATAATCCACGTGACCATGCAAGGTACCCTGGGCTTACAGTGGACGTATATAGCCCGGTAGTCGCGCCCAGACGATATCTTGGTAGTGGTCATCATCTGCAAGAGAATCGATGGACGCAGACGGCTCGAACCGGGCTTCTGTAGAGGTGGGTGGCTCGGACTGCACGGTACGGAAGTGGGTGTCGATAGAGGAGGCGTCGACGATATCTAAATCCATGACAATGTATGAGATGTGTCGCATGCCAAGCGCTTTCGTGAACCTAAACTCTGTTACTAAGCATGCCGTGCGAGGGCCTGAATATAAGCTGAGCTATGATGCAAGAACAATACAATAACATACACACTCTTCATGATTTCCCATACTTGCAACACCGCACCTAACCGCGCGACAAGATGCTTGATAGATGTGCTAGCAGTTGCGCCGGTTGACGCGTCGTGTCGTGTCGCGTCCAAACGAAAGCCAAGACGTCCTCGGTTAGCGACGCAGCCAATAGCATGCG